AACGAATGCTTGAGCACTTTGTATGATACCGTCATGAAGCCGGTGGCTGACCTGGTTCAAGGGGATGAGCTACTCGTTATTCCCGATGGACCCCTGTGGCTCGTTCCTTACGCTGCATTGAAGGATGGTAATCATAGATACATGTGTGAATCGTTCAGAATCCGACTTGCTCCATCGTTGACAAGTCTTAGAGTCATTGCTGATTGCCCAGATGATTATCACAAAAGCAGTGGTGCGTTACTTGTAGGAGATCCGTGGGTAGCCGAGGTTACTAACAGCAAAGGAGAGAAACCCCTCGAGCAGCTTTCGTGTGCTAAAGAAGAAGTAGAAATGATCGGAAAAATTCTGAATATCACGCCAATCACTGGCAGACAGGCCACAAAACGTGAGGTGTTGAAAAGACTCAGTTCCGTTTCCCTAGTTCACTTTGCGGCACACGGATGTATGGAAACTGGCGAAATTGCTCTTACACCTGATCCAGACCGAATATCTGCTGTGCCAACGGAGGAGGATTACATTTTAACAATCGGAGATGTGTTGAATGCTCAACTTCGCGCCAAACTTGTAGTGCTTAGTTGCTGCCACAGCGGTTGGGGCGAGATCAAGGCTGAAGGTGTGGTTGGTATTGCGCGCGCTTTTATGGGTTCTGGTGCTCGGTCTGTTGTGGTGTCTCTGTGGGCGATTGATGACGTGGCTACTCTCGAGTTCATGAAATGCTTTTATCAACACCTTGCAGAAGGTAAACCTGCAAGCGAGTCCCTGAACCTGGCAATGAAAAGCCTCAGAGAATCAGAAAAGTTCTGCGACATCAAATACTGGGCGCCCTTTTTGCTGATTGGAGATGACGTCACTCTTGACTTCATGGCAAAGGAAAGAGAAAATTTGAATATAAAATCACACAAATGAAAAATTGTTTTTTGTTTTCATCTCAAAAAGAATGAGACAGGAACTTGGAAGATTTAAATGTTTATCTAATTTGGCAATTTTACTTTTTGTTAAATGGAACTTGTGATGTGTAACGTTACTTTGGCGAAGAAATAAAAACAGAGTATTTAATGGTAGTTTGATCAGTGGAATTGCCTTTTTGTGTTACCTTTTTAAATATAAATCTTTGCGAAGAGAACAAAATGAGTAAGGCTTCTGTGAGGAATGCCTACAGTAGTTAAAGGCGATTACGAGGTTTGCGGTTTTCCCCAAAATGACACTCAGGTCTATTCATGTATCACAATCAGTTGTATGGAAAACGATTTAAAGGTTTTTTTCTTGTACATAACCAGGAGCTTGTCCACCGGGTCCTAATTACGGTTTTACTCTAAGATTTTGATTAGCAAAGAAACAGTTCGTCATTTGCCAAAGCTGGCGAAATTTTAATTTCTAGAACTTTGAATTGCAAAATTTGCAGTAATATATTCATTAAACTTAGTTGATTTTTCTACGTTATGAATTACTTTGTTACAACTTGCGATTATCTTCACAAGAAAAATTGATTATTTTTTTCAATTCATTTTAATGCAATGTAATTCTATCAGAGCCAAGATTGCCACTCCAAGCTTAATTTAAAGAATTAATCATCAGAGATGATGTTATTGAATTTAATGACCATATGTTAGAGATATAAGACCTACTTTTATGGGTGTAGCCAGCCTTTAGTCCCGTAGGCCCGGCCTTCAATTGTTTTCCGCCCGCTTGGCTTCTATAATATGACTCTTGCAAATGTTGAAACTATAATTGAAATGTCAATTATTTCAGCAAGTCAAAAAGCTGGTTACTCTCGTTTCAAAGAACCACGACTGAGAGGTTAAAATTTGTCCAGAGTTTACTGTAACTAAAGTTTCTGTAGCTATGACTTATAATGTATGTGACACAGAATTTGTTGTTTCTAGTAGGAAAATGTTTAGGCCAATGAATTCGAGAAGGAGTTCAAATAAGCCATGTAGTTCTCGATGGGATCTATTTTGGGGAAAAGGTTCATGAATAATATATTTGAAAAGGTTCAGGGCTTCAGGGTAGAATTTCAATTTTTTAAAATTCGCTGTTCAAATTTTTTTATTTCTCTAAATTTACCTAAGTAGAATTTGAAGATTCCCGATAATATCTTTCTTAGATTTAAGAATTTATACTTAATAGGTAATCAGAGTACGCTTTGTAATTAGGACCTGTTTTGTGGTCAAAAGTTTAAGAGACTGTATCACAGCTGTTTTAGAAGAGAGTTTTGTAAAATCAATCTTAATTTTGCAGATTTTCTTAACTACCATTGGTATATGCTGGTATAAAATGTAAAAGTTAACCTCGCACATGGTTGAATATAATGTAACGTAGGATTTTAAAAACAAGCTGGGACAGTTTTAACTTAGCATGCTTTATACAATGTCAGTGTATTTCGTGTGAAGTGTTTTGATGCTATTTTTATTTACAGTTGAAAATAATTGCTCATTTACCTTAGTTTAATTAACTCATCAACTCCCAAGTTCTGAGGAAAAATTCTCCCAAGAGATAAGAATGTTTCTTTGTTCCTTCACTCCGAGGATTTAATGTTACATCACGTTTATGTCAAAAAATTATCCTCCAGCTTAGATTTTCTCTAATTCTTACTGACACCATATTTTTCGGTGTATTAAATACTGTGAGGAGAATTTAAATTATAATCAGTCTTGGGAGTAAACGGGTTCATTTTAGTGTCTCCGTTTAGCGCGTATTTTACTTAATGCCTTTGACAATTTAATGCAGTTTCTATTGTACCTTTTTATTTACTTCTTTGATTAAAAGAAATATACAGTGTATAAAATACAAAAACCGCGTTAATATTCATTGTCTGTCTCCATATTCTAAGGATTCACGTGAGATGCAGAGAGAACAGATCCTTTGGGGACTTCAATGCTTGTTTTCACCCGCGCGCACCAAGTTGATAATGTTTGCAGCTGACAGTGACTAACATTTCGTGTTTCAAGCCCCCACCCACTCAACAATTGCGCGTCGTCTCTTTGATTGTATCTCTTCCACTGTCTGTTGTTCTCCATATTGTCACACGGTTTTGAACGCCGACGGACGTGTTCATACTTTTGCGCCTTCTTTACCTTTTTCTTTAAACAAATTTTTACATCTTTTCACATTTGCGCGTCCCTTTTTACTGCTTCCTTTTGTTCCTTCCCTTTTTTTCATCGTAATTTTTCTTTATTCCCATCTTTACGCGCACTTCTCTCATCGCCCTCAACTTTATTCTTCTGCGGGCTTCATTAGACGCGACTATCTCCTTGTCTGTTTTAGTTTTCATTCGTCTGAATCCTCGTGCAACGTCATGCTTCTTACAACTCATATACCTCCTTACTCCCCCACAGTAGTTTTTATCATGTTTATTTTATCCACTTTAGGATGGTGTCCTCTTAATGTCATCCCTAGTAAAAATCTCAGTTTTCCTTTCGACTGATTCCCAGTCCACAGGGTCTCTCACTTTTAACTCTCACGTGCCAGTGCTTGCTCTCCTCAGTCCTCTCATCATAGTAGCAGTTATAAAGCGGAAGAGCTCCCTCTAAGTTTCGGCGACATAATCAGTGCATTTTGTTGGAAACGAGTCCTTCAATGTCCAAATTAAGGCTTCTTCTATCATCTGATTGGGAATGGGTCAAACTCTCGCCCACGGTTCACCTACATTGCGAATTCAAGAGGGCGGCAGGCCAATCCAAAGACTCCACAGAGTCGCTAGCCGCCATCTCGGATTTAGGCTTAGAGGAGATCCTGGAAAAGAGTTTTGACAAAACAATAATTTAGAAAAGATAAGTTACTATTAATAGTGCTTAGAGAGATAGTCGATAACAACTTTAAAGATTCATTATGAGCAAGCACGTTCCGTCGATCATTCGACTCCATGTCTCCCAACATCGTAAAATAAATTCCTCGAATACACACGCCTATATGCCCCTCTCCCCTCTCCCCCCTCCCTTCATTAACACTAGACATCCCTCTACTGCAACTTTTATCATTATACAGCACAGTACAACATTATACCCCTGACTAGCACTATAAATCTGTTCGCGGACATTGCCTGTTCTGAGATGCAAAAACTGAGACCTTCGAGGGACAGACAATGTCCAAGAACAAATATCCGTACATATTTTTGCGCAAAATAGAGGCTATTGTGTTTTTTATCCTTCAAATATTTTGCAACGTACTTGGAAAATGTTTACGAATAGCTTACTGAATTGAATGACTAAAGGGGGTAATAAAGAGCGTTAGCTCTTCGTCAGAGCGATCGCAGAGTGCCAACGCTCGAAACGTGAGCTTTCAATTTACGTAATCAACTCCCATCTTGCCAGTTACACAAAGAAATCAAGAGACTGAGCAATACTCACAACAAGACACGCACGCACACACACACACACACACACACGCACACACGCACACACACACACACACACACACGCACACACACATATATGGGTATCTGGGACTTCACTTCCACTTCGTGTTTGCTTAGTTTGAATACGCACCATGTCTTAATTTGCAGAGGATTACTCTCAATTTGCCATGATCATTACATACATCGGCACTAATATTCAGACCTTCAAAAACTGGCAGACGCTATTTGAGGAAGGTAGAGGAAACTCAGAAAAATAAAACGGTGACAACAAACAAAGACCAAATTCTTAATGAAGGATTTTTATAATAACAGTGATAGTAATAGTAATGATAATACTACTGGTGAAAGTAATGACAATACTGATACTAATGTTAACAATAATGACAATGTTAATGATGATTATAATAAAATCACAATGGTAAAACTAACTATGATAATGATAATAATAGCAAAACTAATACTGATAATATTGATTATAATAATACTAATCATACTACTATCAATAATAATAATAAAATGATAATTATATCGATCACAACAGTAATAAAACGATGGCATTAACGTAAATATTATGTGCAAATTAAGGACTACCAAGCTTAAAATTGGCAAACTTTCACACTCCTTATCTGAGCAGGATTCCTTTTGCGTTGCTGGCCACTTGAGTGTGTAGGAAGCTAGGAAAATGGCTTATATAATTCTCGAGGTCTCTAAAGCTCATTTTGTCAGACACATATAAGATGGCCAAATTGAAACAGATCTAGCTTGGAATTTGGTTCCTTTTTTTCTTACTTTCGAGACATATTTTGAAATCGTCTTTTAAAAGAAGCTTCAGCTGAACTGAGTCATTTTCTATTACTTTCTCTCAGGAAGTGGTGCTGTCCCAGGTGAATGCAAATCGTACAATGTTTTAAATGAGCCGGGCAGATATTGGAGCAGTACTGGACATCCTCTTTCATGCGATAAGAACCTTACCAGTGGCGGCTGGTACCGCTTCCAGGGTCCTGCTGGAAAAATGATGGCTACTCATTGTATTCCAAGACAAAGTTGCAACAGCCGCATGGTCGGCTGGATCGGTGGTGGCGATCACCCCACCATAGCTTACCAGAAGGTCACGAGAACAGTATATATGCATCACAAGTCAAGTTGTCAGTTCTTGTCTTACCCTGGGACGGATATACGTAACTGTAGTGGATTCTACGTTTACAAACTGAAATCAACCACCACATGTTTCCAACGGTATTGTGGTGTTAATGGTAAGTGTCTCATCAAGAACATAATTTTTTTTAGCTGTGTTGCATACAGTATTTTTTTTTCACAGATTTGTTTATTTTTATTTTAATTAATTTATTTAATGATTATTTAAACACGGTAAAAAAAAACCATCAGGTACAAAAAATTCCAATTCAATGACTAATATCCTAAGAACCTAAAATCCTTATCCTTATCCTAACACTGTTTTAACTTACAACACTGTGCCATTTAAAATATTGATTTCCAGGGTTGCCGTGTTTAATAATTATGATTGAGAAGGTGTTTAAATTTGTTCTATGAACCAGACTCTCTAATGTTACAGGCCCTAAGCTATTCCAAAGGATTGCGCCGCTATAAATAAAACTATTTTTCATGTAGTAAGTTCTTGAAAAGAGGCAACAAGTTTGTTTACCGAGTCCTTCAGAGGATTGTCTTATTCATTTCACTTTATGAATTTAGACGTGAGATATTCGGGAACCAGACCTTAAAAAGACTTGAAAACCATCAAGGCGTTCTGAATTTAAGGTTGAGATTTCAAGTCTTTCCAGCTGAGTTTGCCAAACGAGAAATCGGCATCTACGTCATAGCTTGATGAAGTTATTAGACGTGCAGCACGGTTTTTGTAGTTTTTGCAGCTTGTTAGATAATGTTTTGCCACAATTACCCCAGATTAGGCTGCAGTAATCAAAGTGAGACTAAACTAGTGAGTTGTTTACATTAAGTTGGGTGGATTGAGCCAACACATGTAATGGCTTAACTCGCTTTATGGCTTTATGGTCTTTTTACACAGTTTATCAATGTAGGAATGCCACGCTAAATTTTCACCGATATAAATTCCAAGGGATTTCACAGAGGAAACTTGTTCAATCGGAACACTATCTATGGAAAGTTCGAGTGTATCGGATAGAGCACTAAATCTTTGCCTAGATATTGTTTTCTCATGGCTGGAGGTTGCCTACGGGGTAAACTGGTATTCTCTCCGCCACCCCGTTTTTATTGGTGTTAATACACTTTGGAACGCGTGGGGGTGGGGTAAGGGGGGTTTAGGGGAATGTAAAGGACAGCTCGAGAAAGAAAAATGGTTAGATATTACACGTTGTACCATTTATTGCAAAAATAGGCTTGAATGTCCACATTTGCGGGCAGAATAGATGTCTGGTAATACTGCTTTGATCCAAATTTCTCAAATTAATTGCAAAATTGGTAAGTAAAACAAAATCAAGTGGAAAAGGTTACATATACACTAGAGATACGGGCGGCTCTAAGTTTCAGTGATATGATTTGGCCTTTCTTTTTAAAAATAATGTTTCTCTTTATGCGGTTTTAATTGTTCTTGAGCATGTTGATGAATAAAGAACACCCAGGCAAATAAAAGTGCAAAACAATCATGGCGTC